TATATAGTGCTGTGAAATAATTAATTGTGATTAATCATATCCAAAATAAAAGTTTTTGTTTATATAATATATATATATGTGTGTATACTGTGTGTATTTATTATGTATATACAGTATAAAGACACACACATACAGTATATATTTTGAAAATATTTACATGTATTTATATTCATATGTTATATAAGCATAACATATTTTTCTTAAATATACATGCATGTGTGTGTATTTATATGTACATAATAAATATACACAGTACACATACATATATTATGTACACAAAACTTTTATTTTGGATGCGACTAATTGTTGCCCAGCACTAACGAAATGAAACGAAACGAAACGAAACGAAACAAAACAAAATAAAATAAAATAAAACAAAATAAAACCAGTCTTTTAAATCTATACTGATTCAGCCTAGAGGACAAAAAGTTTTTAACGTGATTCCATGTTAATATTCTTACTGTGAAGTGTTATTTTCAGATCGTATGATTTAATAACTCATTTAAATTAGCAGAAGTACATGAAACTGGAATGAAGATAGATTGCTTGGGGGTATATTTAAATTGCCTGTAGCAAACAATAAAAACATCTAACTGATGATATAAGGCTCATAAATTAAATGTGAAAGATGAAAATGTTTCATTTTATACTCTTAACATGCAATGGAAGCACATACTGCAGGATAATGTGAACAACTAGATTGTTTCCATTGCAGTCAATGAAGCTGTTTACACACCAAGCATAACGTCTAATGTAGATATGCATGCAGGAGGTAAAAACATGACCGAGTCCTTCTTCATTTCAGTCTTGTGTTATTGTTGACTTTGTCTTTGAAGACAGTTGTCAAAGCTAATTGAGTTATTAAAAAATAATATTACTAATTTATTTGACAATGCTAGAACAAAGTTTGTTTACAAATTGGCCAAAAACTATTACTGTGGCAAAATTTTAGATCGGAGCAAATGAGGACGAAGGCTCATCAGTTCATTTGTAAAGTCTGATTGTTCCTGGATGTTGTCAGAGAATGAATTTTGGAATCTGATGACATAATCCAGAATACAGTAATTATTTTTACACTGATACAAAAATACAAAAATTAAGAAAACATATTCCATTCATTGTTATTAACAACATGAAGTGCATTAAACATTACATTATGTTAATGTTTCCCAAACTGGGTTTTTGAAGGAACTGCAGGGGGTTTGTGAGTTTAATGAAAGCTAATAATTAATTAAATTATAAAAATGTTGCATTAAAATAAATCATTTTAAAATCAATCAAAATAAAACATGTACTAAAAAATTAAATATTTGATTAGTTTACCTGCATGTCATGTGACCATTAACCAACATCAGAGAACCATGAACATACAAATGTGATATTATTATTAAATATATTTATTTTAAAATCTCAGGGATACTTCAAGTAAATATATTGTGTGAATGATGATCAGACGACAAAACAAGTTTGTGAATTTGTGCATTTTAATGTGTCTGAGAGACAAAAGCCTTCCAAAGACAGAAATACATGATTAAATAACCTACAGAGTGATAATTCAAATAAAAATTAACATGTTCATCAGTAGTTGATGCAATGTTGAAACTTCTTAAACCTGAAATTACTGTGCTCAAATGTTGCAAACATTCTGAGTGTATATAAGCGGTGGGCTATTTTAGAAATGAAAATTTAAAAATGAATTAGGATAAAAAACATGAATTAGGGAGAATCAATAATAATGCTATTGTGTAAATTATATGTCATCATGTAATCCATAAGGTAACTGATTATGAGTATTTTAAAATGTAATTTAATCTAATTACAAGTACTTAATTTTTTGGAATCTGATTACATAATCCGTGCAGACTGAACGATCAGTGTTTTTGGAGTGTAAATCTTGTTTCAAGATTAACTTCGGAAGCGGCACAAAAAGCTCCTCAACAACCCACAAATACACGTTTACAGGCTGAAGTCACATCTCAAGCTGCGATCGCTTCACTTTCTTGTCAACTCGACACAGGGAAATAAACAGAAACAGCAGGCTTTAGCCCGTCACCTTTTCAGTCGGGAAGCAAGAGAGAGCGAGATTCCAGGAAAAAATGTTAGTAAGTGTGATGAACCCTACAACAGCAGAGTCTCGCTTCTCCTCACATGCTTGTCTCTACAGTTCAACTGGATTTTTGGCATGTTTAACTGTTAAACAAGTGCTAAAGTTTGTTTTAGAAAACAGTTATTTTAAATAGTAAAAATATTTCACAATATTACTGCTTTTGCTGTACTTCTGATCAAATAAATGCAGGCTTGGTGAGCAGAAGAGTCTTCCTTAAAAACATAAAAAATCTTACTGTTCAAAAACCCTTGACCGGTAGTGTAGTGCTACAGAAAGCACACACTGGTTCTGGTTCTGGTTCTGGACTCACTGTGGGTGGTTCTTGTAGACCGATCCAAAAGACAAAAACTTTTATTCCGCAAGGATGCATTAAATTGAGCAAAATTGTCAGTAAAGATTCTTAGCAACATTCTTAATGATTTCTAATTGCTGAAAATTCAGTTTTTGCCATTTTATAAATAAATTACATACATAATTATATAAATATTTTATTATATAAATATAAATAAATGAATACATACACTACTGGTCAAAAGTCTGGGATCAGAATGATTTTTAATGTTTTTACAGGAGGTTCTTCTGCTCATCAAGGCTGCATTTATTTGATCAAAAATACAGGAAAAAATGTAATACTTAAAATAGAAATATTTTCTAACAATATACACTACTGTTCAAAAGTCTGGGGTCAGTACATTTTTATTCTTTCTTTTTTTAAAAGAAATTAAAACTTTTATTCAGCAAGGATGTGTTAAATATCACAGAAATAAATGATATTTTAAAGGATATTACAATAGGAACCATTATTTTATATTGTAATAACATTTTGCAAGATTACTGTTTTTTTCTGTATTTTTGATCA